GCATCCCTTCTATTCCAGAAGACTATCATGTTTGACCTCTCGAGGTTAAAGAGACAAGTTGTATAGATAAATCTCATATTAGCTTGCTCATAATATGGACTCAAATGGATAGGACAATGATATTTGTAGAAAATAATACCACATTGTGTTTTTGCTTTTAAAGAACTAAAAAAATGTAAGATAGAATTGTCTAAAAGTTATTTTTTCAGAAGTGAAACAGGACAGTCTTTTGGGACAGTGGTGGTACAATTTTTCGATTACTGCATTATTGTTATGCAGATGCAGTATGTACTTAATTGTGATACTTGATTAGGGTCGTCCCTCTGCATACTTTGCCATCAAAATCTGGTTGCAATTATTCACACTTAATTTTTTAAATACTAGTTTGTAACTGAAATACCTCAAAAATAGTTCTATAAGAAATATTTAACAGTTGGTTTATTCCTGCATATCTAGGGGAATACTTACGTGTAAGGAAAAAAATTATGATATAATGATCTTTTTGTGCCTCTTTTGCACGTGATAGTTTACCTGCAGGCAATATAAAAGGTTCGTTCTCTAATTTTTGGATTCAAATGACTATTATCAGTATCCAACTACATATTGGGTGGCGAAATCCAGGATAGAGAGTTTGCGGCTCCTGCAAATATAGAAGAGTATGGTCCAGTCAAAAGCTATAACTATGCAGAGGAACAGCTACACCAAATCCCTGAAACTGAAAAGATTTTTGAAGATAATTTTTCTGTGCAGTCAAACGGTTTACTTCAGGGTGCTATGAACTCTGTACCTGCTCATTTTTCCGCTCCTGTTGAGGAACCCATTGTGGAGCCCCAAAAGCATACTTATGCTTCTATTGTGCGTGATGAAATCTCAGTCTTATACTGCTGCAATTTACATTGCACTATCCTAATTATAGTAGCTCGCATGAGTTTGATGAACTCATTATGTGTTGCTCTGTTGATGTAAGTTACAGGTTGCTAAAGGACAACCTTCTCCAGCATCTCCTTCTCAGTCCTCTTTTAACAAGCCCACGCCTTCAGAGTGGCAGCATGCACCTGAGTCTCTTAGTCAGCCATCTATTGCTGCTTCAAACACAATTGAAAGGTCTGGGATGGAGACAGTGGAAGAAACATCAGCCATGGAAGACGAAGGTGACTTTTCTATAATATTAGTTCACTTTTGCTCCCTCCCCCATTACCGTCTCTCTTATACAATATAGAAAACAAAGTAAGGCCATTTTTGCTTTTATGAATTACTGTTAGTTACTGACCTTATTATTTATTCTTGTGACATTCATCCACAGTTGAAATCAAGTCAGTGTATGTGAGAAATGTGCCAGCGACAATGGCTGCTTCTGAAATAGCTGAGGAATTCAGTAAATTTGGTAAACTGGCACCTGATGGTGTAGCCATTAGAACCCGGAAGGTTTGTTCTTTTGGCTTTGTCTGTTTAAATTTTTTGTATTTGCCTCAAAGAAGATAAAATGCTGTAATTTTACCATGAAATTGATGCAGGATATTGATGTATGCTATGCATTTGTTGAATTTGAAGATACCTATGGGGTCCAGAATGCAGTTCAGGTTCAAACTTATTTGGGCACTTCATGTTGTTGAATATATTTTCAGCATATATCTTGACAATGTAAACATTAGACGCTTATGTTCTGTTTTGGCTGCTAACTGCTATAATTTATTCTCTTTATACTCCATGGCAACTTTTAATCTTGTAATGGCACAAAGGAACCACAATTGTGTCTTGAGTTCTCAAGCATTAATAGAGGAGGGGAGGGTTGTGTTGGCAAACTTCAAAATTAACTACTTGTTTGGCCCCCATTTCTTGAAACTCATTTTTCTCCAGACTCATTTTCAACCATACATTTACAGAACCACACATTTCGCCAACTTATCAACCTCACATTTCACTAACTTTTATTAAAATCTACTAAAATTTTAATTTTATCCAAGCCAAACAGGGGCTAAACTTGTTTCTTGAATTTACAATTAGCATTTATAATGTGATGAGGGAGGGAGGGAGTAGTCTCTTTCTTGCCATGTTTCAAAGTTCATACATATTTTGCTCTCAAATATCTTAGCTCTGATTTTACAAGTACATTAGGGAGTGAGAGTGTGCCAAACTCTTTGCATCGTGCGATTTCTTATGTTACTTTAATTACCTCGAAGGGGTCAAACATCTTGGTTGCTTGCATGTAAAGTAGGCCTTATGTTTCATTTGTTTCTTTGTAGGCATATTCCGTTCAGATTGGTGGACACCCACTCTATATCGAAGGGAGGCGACCGAATAGAAGTAACCCAACTCGTGGAGGAAGTATGCACTTAACTATGTTCTGTTACAACACGTGCCTTGGACACAGTATTTCGACTCTTGATAGTTGGTTCACAAACATTGTCATCGTTCTTATTTAATCATAACTGCTTCCAAACCACTGACCTGCACTTTCTTTCTGGTTATTTTTGTTTATTAACATTCACTTCAAGGCTTAAAAAAACTCTGAAAATCCTAAGAATAAATTTCCACGATGCATAAAGTTTGTGTTCCGTAGACCACGCATATGTACTACTGTGTTACTTCCAACAGGCCATAAATTTATGGCAAGATAGTCTTGTGTACGAAGTATCAAGCATAGGTTTCTTATGCAAACATGTGATCTCGGTCCTTGGCTGCTGGCAATTATGTGCATACTGCATTTTTTGATTATGTTGGGAACATTACTTGTGCACTCTTGCTAAGAATTTTCTTTCTGCTTAATCAAGATTATCGAGAATCTTGGTGCTTCTCGCTTGTGATGATCACTGATGAACACGTTGCTTTTCTAATGGTTGAATTGTTTTAAACAGGAGGAAGGGGTAGAGGCAGAGTTAGCTACCAGATGGAAGGGACAAGGGCACGGTTTGGTGGCCGTAGTTTTGGAAGTGACCGGGACATCAACAGAGCAAGAGGGAATGGATTTTATAGGCAGGCGCCTCGACAAGAAAGAGAAACTCATTGGAATGAATGACTTGCAGAAGCTCGGGGAGGTAGTTTGTGGACAGGCAATTTTGGAACTTCGCAGTATCTTTCTTGAGTCTATTTTATTGTTACTTTTTTTTTTGTTTCCGGTAATATACTAATGAAATGTTTATGCAATTTTGGGTTCCTATAAAATATTAATAGAGAAGAAAAATTAGTGGTGGGTCCCCAACTTTTCAGCTAGTGTGAATGTGGTTCTTCATCCTTCGAAAGTGAAGTTTTGGGTCCCCAATCTATGTAACTCCGTGACTTTGGTTTCCCACCCAACGGAATAGTCACTTTCACTTTTAATATTTGACGAATTAAATTAGGGTCGGAGTGGTTTTTTAAAAATTACTTTTTCTACACCTTTTTCATCACGCATTTTTTAAAAAATATATTTTTACGTTTTTATATTTTTTCCTTATTTTTTAATCATACATTTTTCAAAAATTCACTTTTAAAAATCTCTTCCAAACAAGCATGGAAAATCTATATTACTCACATACTCGTAAAAAAAATGAATTTTTTTGGAGTTCTTTAAGATCTTCAATATCTTGGGTTACTTTCTCAAAGTCAAAATAGTATTTTGTAAACAAGTCAAGTTTCGAAATTGTTAGTAATATAATATTTATTAAGATTATTTGAAATTTGATCTACGAACATAACCAAGTAAAGAAGGATAACTACGCCCTCGAGCTCGAGGCTTAAATTTCTTTACGGTAGTACAGTCTTTGACTTCAGCTTTACTAATGAATAAATCGTTGAGTCCAAGCTCACTATCATTTTGGAAATCTTGTTTTCTTTGAGATTCATTTTCGTGAACATATTCCTCATATGGGATATTTAATTCGTAGGTTACAATATTGTATTGACCGATACGTCCAATGCTTAGTGTTTTTCGATTATAGATAAGAATATTGGAATATCTAATCTCATTCCCTCCTAATTTTTGTATCTCATTATTAGCCTGGTAAAATGCTTTCACCATCGATGGTTTTCTTTGAGTTTCTTTTTCGTGAACGTATTCCTTAGGTGGAATATTAACGTGTACGTTAACATATTACATTGGTTGATACGCACAATGTCTAGTATTTTACATATAAGAATCTTGAGGTATCTAATTTCATTCCCTCTCCTAATTTCCGTTTCTCATTATTAGTCCAACAGAATGCTTTCACCATTGGTGATTTTCTTTGAGTTAATGCATAATTTACAACATTGTAATGGTAGATACACACAATGTCTAGTATTTATCGTTTACTAATAATAATATTTGGGGTATCTGATCTAATCTCATTTCCTTTCCTAATTTCCGTCTCTCAGTATTAGCTCAGTAAAATATTTTTACCATTTGTGTTTTTTTTCGATCTCTACGCATTTTACCTCTCCGTCCTTTATCAATGACAATCGACATGAAACTCAATCGCTAAGTGATGTTAACAAAATCTCAAATACAAGTCAAGAATTATGAATTAAGGAAAACAAAAATCTAAGAAAGGTCAAGAATAGCTACAAACAAATACTGTAAAAATAATTGTGATGTCATATTTTTGGTAAAAACAATTAAATAAATACAAAAGAACTACTAATTATAAGTATGTCTAAACAAAGAAGGCAAAATAACAACCACCGCTCAGTTGTTCCTAAAATGGTCCAAAAACATTGATATTTTGTTCATATTTTCCTTTGCATGCGGTGCTTTCATGTTGTTTAGAGAGGGACTTCCTCTCCTCCCAAATCTCTTCAATTTCTCCTTTTTGGTCGTTAACAATCTTTTTCCTCGTCGTCCTATTTCTGGACGGCGAGGCGACCGAACCTCCTCTCTCTCCGCCTTGTGCCAACACTAGCTCCACCGTCACCGTCACCGCCACCGCCACCGCCACCTCTTGTTTTCTTGTTTCTCTTAAATAAAAATGGCGATCTTAAAACCCTTTCAACTTTTAGAAATAAACATCATTTCTGCACAAGATTTGGAGCCCGTTTCAAAGAAAATGAAAACTTATGCAGTTGCATGGGTGAATCATCATCGAAAGCTTTCGTCTCATGTCGATTCAGAGGGAAATACAAATCCGACATGGAATGATAAATTCGTTTTCAGGGTTGATGAGGAATTTCTTCGTCGGGATACTTCTGCTGTTATGATTGAAGTTTATGCCGCACATTGGTTCCGGGATACCCTCGTTGGCACTGTTCGGATCCTCGTAGGAAACCTAATTCCGCCACGTACTCATCCGCACCGCCGCCGTCAACCCTTTGGTGGAATGCGGTTTGTTGCACTTCAGGTTTTTACATGACCTTTCGTTGTTCAGATTCGAATCTTCACGTGCATGCAATCACTTTCAGGGTTTTTGCATTTGCTGTATTGATTTGTGATCTAATAATCTTACATTGTCTGTCATTTGATCCGATGTTCTAGCTATCTTCATGGCATTTGTGGTTGTAAATTATTAGAAATCATGAATATACAACATTCTTGCATTTGGGATATCGTTAGTGATCCCTGTATCAATGTACGCATGTTTCAGGTACGCCGACCTTCGGGACGACCACAGGGAATATTGAACATTGGTGTGGCCTTACTAGACAGTTCAATGAGGAGCATGCCATTGTACACACAATGCGCTTCGGCTGTTGGATTTCGTGATTTGATGGACGACCCGAATCTCAATAACCATCGTCAAAACAACGACGACGAACACAACAATAATCAGGCACCGACTCTCAAGCCTATACTGCGTCGCTCAAAAAGTGAACGTAGCGAGCTCATACACTTGGACAATTATTCTGACACAAACAGTTCCCTGGTTGCAATCCCAAAAAAGATGGGGTCTAGAGGAAATGGCGGGTCGACATTGGAAGCTGGGGAGACTACTACTAAGAGCAAGAATAAGAAAGGCAAGGCGAGTTCGGTTATCAGTGGCGCAGAGCTTCGGGAGAAACCGAAACAGAAAGGTAAGAAAGGAAAGGCAAGTTCAGTGGTAAGTGACTCAATTGTTAGCAAAGAAACCTCTGTTTATGGCAAGATTTCGAAGCCAGATTTGAAGAACAAAGGCCAAGAAAACGTGGACAAAAATAGCGAAAAACCAAGGAAGGAATTGAATGGCGCCGCACAAGCAAACAAGGTGTTTGATGAGAAACTAGGTAAGAAAGTTGGGGGGCAAGCTATAGAGAAACTACCAGTAACAACCATTGGAAAGCCTGTTTCAAAGTTCAATGGATACGAGAATGTTGGTGCACCAAAGGGTAGCAAATTTGTGATAGGAGCACCATTCAAAGCTCATTCGATTATTTCTGACTCGGAAGTCGGCCCCCCACCATCTGAGGTGGCTGCAATGATGGCTGAAAGGAAGTATCCTTTGGATGATAATCAGAGCTCTGTGTTGGATGGTTGGAGCTTAGATGAAAGTGTCGAAGGGCTTAAATCCAAGTTGGAGAGGTGGCGAATGGAGCTGCCACCGCTGTATGATCGAGGCTTCTCTACGAGTAGCTACCAATCGAGGTCAAGTGCTCGGCCAACCCGAAGGAAATCTGATAGTAGCATTGGCTTATTCTCATGCTTTGGTAACATCTGTGGGTATGAGTGCCAATGCGTTTGTGGTAAGCCTCCCGGGAGGAGTATGAGCTCAACTAGGTTCCGTAGCCCAGCTACAACACCGGGTCGATCATACCTTTGAGAAAGCATAAATACATTGCCTAATTAAACCTGTTATGGCATGATTAGATAGTTCTGGACATTACTAAATAAGAACAAGCTATTTATATTGTCCACTACGATCAAATACTGCATACCAAACATCCACTCAGTATATTTATCATTGTTCCTGTGATTATGAATCAAGGTGGGGTTAGTGCCTTGCAAATTACCTCTATTGACAATGAGGGACTTCCCATTGATTGATTTGGATTTGTTTTTGAGAGGAAATTCCGACTTTTGGGGCACATGCAAAATTAAGGCAAAGACATCATGGTACAAGTCAGGAAAAGAGTTAAGTATTCTTTACTTTCATGGCTCTCATAACTATGTAATGTGTTTGGTTTCTTAGAGTAATGATGTAAGAAAATTCTTGTCAGTCTAAACAAATAATTGAATTCTTTCCTCTTGTACTTTTCCACTGTCCCCTAAATATGCGACTTCCAGTTCCTCAGTTGTGTTTTTTCCTTGCAAAGGTATACTTTTCTTCGTAAACGTAAATTCGAGCATCAGATTAAAAGATTTTTTGCAGAATTAATATTATTTCATGTATTAAATCAAAGAACGAAAGAAAAGAAATGCTATCTGAAATTGTCCAACCTTGACTAATCTTACAAGTGATGAAAATAAGGTGGCCGTTGTTTCTTTCTCTTGCATGGGCACGTATCACTCTCGAACATGGACCAGCACCAGCTTATGTATTGTTGCACCAATTAACACATTCATATGTCGCGAGCCTTTAACACTCTTGAACTCAGACTAGGTCCACTTTAAATTCTGTTGCACCGATTATCAAACTCATGAATTTCAAGATAATAAGACTAGAGTCTGAATATGGAAGTGTGAGGAGTTCTGATGTATTCATCATGAAGATAGTTACCTTGAAGCATCAGCTTTTGGCACTTAATTTCTCCAGAAGGATCTTGTTCAGAAGTAAGGGATTAGCCTTGCCTTTTGATTCTTTCATTATCTATTAATTATAATAAATATGTCAAAAACAATTGCCACCGAAGAAAATACTAAAGAAAAAAATGTCGAGCACGAAATAATGGAAAAAACCTCTTAAATTGTACAAGATTTGTACCTGGCCAGCAAAATAACCTTGTAGCTTAGTTTTACCCCCTCGATATTGCTCTAACTGCTTTGGATTATCAGCAAGGACTTTATCCACCATTTTCTCAATCTCAACAGGGTCTGCAATCTGATTTACAAGAAAAAGGAAATCAGTCTTTCTATTAGTCATATACGTGTAAACATATATTTCAGACGATAGCACCTTTATCACATCCACAATTGTGTTCACTCTTTTATCAACGTAATAAAGTACTAAAAGTCAAAACGATAAGCGTAAAAAGTGTTAAGAGTGCTCTGCTGATCGTACCGAAAAAATGTGTCTTGAACCATCTCACACTGGAAAAATGGAATCCCTATCACAAACATATGAAACTTGTGTGCTGGAGTATGTAGAGCCTAATCATATTGTTCACTTGCCCTCTCAATTGCAAAAGGTTGACGAATGGCAGGGGTCACCTTGGCGACTTCTGTATCCAGGGGAATATTTGGGATAGTCCATACACGTATTAGGTAACCCTAATATACTTGCCATATACGAAGGATTTTAGAGAATCCATTTTAAAAGACAAGATCGGCATGAGATCCTTTGCACGCTTCTTTCATATAGGAAAAACATGCAAAAACAAGTGTCTTCTCTCTCACATTGAGGGCAAATCACTATAAATTTGTTTCTTTGCTTCGTAGGTTTGCAATTTCATTTTGCTTATTAGTCTGGAATTGGGGCCTAATCCCTAACATTGTAGACGTTTCCCACAAACAATAATTCATTATTCATCATCTATGATGCTCGAACTCGGGTACGGATACGTATCTAAGTGTCAGATATTTTATTTTTTAAAATGTAGGATACATGGATATGGCTAAAAAGAGTCCAAATTTTGGACACGGGGTACGTGAGTACGTCTTTCAAACTTCAAGTTTTTTAACTAATTCAGGATGTCATTTTGAATAGATCAAAATTAATTATTCACAATGAAGGAAATGTGTATTTAATAAGGGGTTAAGATAAATAAAATAGAATTTTGGGGTTTAATTTTCAATAATGAGAATTACTAAATTTTATATAAAATAGAAAATGAGGAACTTGATTGTAATTTGAACTTAGTGGAGCACTAAGTAGTACTATATGGAACTCATTTTCATTTTATACAAACAAAATCCTAAACCACCTATATAGAGAGAGAAAAAAGGGGAAAAAAAAAAAAAAGAAAAAAATGGAAAGAAAAAAATAAAGAAGAAGAAAAAGAAGGGAAAATCTAGCGTTGCCGTCTTTCTTCACCCTCTCAGCGACGACGCTAGGTTTATAGAGAGCAAAAGTGGGAAAGAAGAAAAAGAAAAGAAAAAAAAAAGAAGAAAGAAGAAAAAGAAGAAAGAAGAAGAAAAAATGATGAAGTGTCCGGTTGAAACTTGTAGGATCCGACACATATTCCATATCCATACCCATGTCATGTCGTGTCGTATCCGACACGGATACTCCAACTATTTCGAAGAGTCCTAGCATCATAGTCTATCATATTCTCCACAACAGAAAACGAGCTAGTTTGAAGTTGCTAAACAGGTATTGTTATATGAAAGGCAGTTGCCGACACAGATGTATCAGTATATACTGTTTTCTCACTCGCACATGATTGTACATCCAGTCCTATCATTCCATATCTGAACAAGGGCCGGACAGACAGAGCAGACACATTTATGAGAAGCACTTAACTATATGTGCACGTTACCTATTACCGCCTAATATCGACTACGAACGAGTCTTTTTCTGCATAATCTATTTAAAAGTAGCTCTTCAAATTCCAAGTTTTCAGTATATGGTAGTTATCCCGCCCCCAAAGGCTCCTGATTCCTACCCAATGAAGAAAGAATAATAACATGGCCCATAAACTATAGACCAGCTTGAAAAAAATAAGATATTGTATGGTACTGAATATTGAAAATTAAACCTAAAAATTTAGGAGAATTGAGAGTTTAGCAAAACATTTGACAGTTTGCAGAGTATTTCACAATCATCAGGATAACTATAACTAAATTTATTGGTAGCATTTGAATTGGCATGAAAGCCAAGTCAATCCAACATTTAGATGAAAAGTTCTCAAAAATCTAATTTAAAACAACAAAAATGATGAGCAAATAAAGTTGGAGACATAATGTGATTTGACTTGCCTGAACCAAATTCTTTTCTTTTATCAGCCCTTTAACAGTTCCACCCTTTGCCATTAACTCGAATAATATCTGCAAATTTTACTCAAAACACTGATAAACACAAGCAAAACCTCAGTTATCTACAAGAAAATATAGTTTGTACATATAGATGTCCAACGTTTCCCACCCTTTCCTCCACTTGTATGTACACGTGTGATTGGTTTCTCGAGTCAAAAAGTTGTTATCATTGGATAACCAAATCCAATAATATATTTTACTTTGTAACTTTAGAATATTAAATGGACAAATTAGAGTAAATGAATTGTGTTATTCCATTGAATGGTTGTTTCTGAATAGATTTCAGATTCCATATAAGACTTGAGCTGTGGATGGAGGAGGTTATTTAAATGAGGGAGAAGTGCCTTTTTGTCTTACCCACTAATCAACTTATACACAAAGCATGAGGCTTCGCTGATCATGGTCAAGGACAGTGGATCAGAGAAGGAAAATATGAAAGATAAGATAGCTTGGACAAGGAGGAAGAGGCTGAAAGAAATAAATCAATCTATAAGGCATGCTAAGCAATAATTAAATGAAGAATTAACTTAGAGACTACACAATAAATAAATGTGTGCTCAATAGATGATGACAAAGGTATAATGAAAAAAATAAGAAAAGTATATACCTCTTTGCCAATTTTCCCACTTATGGTCCCACCTTTAATTGAGGATATAAGCTCAACCAATTCGTGTGAGTTAAGTTTAATTTCATGAATAGACAACTTCTCATTTTTCATATAGGCAGCAATATCTCCCATTATCCAATTGGCAGCCAACTTTACATCAGCACCCTCTGCAACTGTTGAATCAAAAAAATCCGCAACCTAGACAATTGTCGTGAACGTAGAAAAAATCAGCATCAATGGTATGTACAGTGCTAGATATAATAACATAAATAATGCATTGGTGGCATAGATATGTCATATGTTGATGATTAAAAGGCAAGGCAAACCCAATTATTCGACATGTAAAGTGTAGAACTTCCAGATATTAATTTTGTCAACATAGAGTCGGAACCAAAATACATGTTCGGACCAACAGGACTTACATTGATGTCATTGGTAAGAAAGAGGACATCCTGCATGTTTAGACCCATTCCTTCATATCTTCGACGCTTCATTTCTGGAAGTTCAGGTAAGGAATAACGGATCCCATCAACATATTCCTCAGTTAGTGTAACTCCTGGAAGATCAGGCTCTGGGAAGTAGCGATAGTCAGCAAGTCCTTCCTTCTTCCTCATTGTAACTGTTTTCTAAAAGTAGAACAAACATGTAGCTTAGTAGTTAATATACAAATTCTTATCCTAAGTTTTCTTTTTATCATGACAGCAAAAAGGAATGTAACCTGAGCGCCTTCTTCCCAGAGACGGGTTTCTTGTACAATTTGACCAGCCTGACCTTGGATATGAAGAAGCGCCTGTCTTGATATCTCAAAGTCGATAGCTCTACTCACAGATGAAAATGAGTTCAAGTTCTTTATTTCTACCTGTTGGTGCAAGTTTGAACAACTGAATAGTGTAGAATTTTATTTTATAAGCATTCGACAATATATATATCAGCATCTTAAAATTATTTACATCTATGTAAAAAAAAAAAAAATAATAGCAAAGCATATATAGGCCAAAAAGCTACAATATATTGATAGGCCAAGCGGCTAACCAACGACTGAAATTCATTTCGGATACACAGGATCAGCATTCAATTAAATT